GTGACCCCAGGGCAGGACCCGGCCCTTGGCCTTGTTGACCCTCACCCAGTTGGGCTGGGCCCATGGCTCCAGCCTGGCCAGGTCCCTCTGCAGAGCCCCCCGCCCCCCCAGCTCGGGGTCACCTGCAAACTGGCTGGGGGTGCCCTCGATCCCCTCGTCTGTGTTGTTGATAAAGATGTTAAAAAGACCGGCCCTAGAACTGAGCCCTGGGGGACACCACTCGTGACTGGCCTCCAACTGGATTTAACCCCATTCACCACAACTCTCTGGGCTCAGCCACCCAGCCAGTTTTTTACCCAGCGAAGAGTACCCCCGTCTCGGCCATGAGCCGCCAGCTTCTCTAGGAGAATGCTGTGGGACACAAAGGCACTCCTGGCAGGAGTTAGTGGCACTGGGATGATTAAAGTCCTCATAAAAATAGGAAATGGCACTTCTGGAGACCTCCAGCGTACCGAGGCATGGGAGCAGTAGCCCACCCTACCCTCAGACACCCCCAGTGCAGTTTGGAGAAGGTGACTCCAGCAGAGTTTCTCCTGAGCAGAAGCCCCTTCCTACCTTCTATGTGCTCCACCAGGAGAGGGACCCGCTTGCTCCAAAGCTGGTCCAGCGCGGGGTGGACGCTGTAATGCAACGCGTTCAGCAGCCGCAGGGCAGCCGGCCCCCGGCAGTCTCCTGCGTACGGCTGCGAAGATACAACCTGAAAGGTTGGGGATGGAACGACGGGCGTTAGCGCAGAGAACGTCACTGCCAGGCGGCGAGAAACACGCGACACGGCACAGGAACGCAATGCCGGGAAGCGATGGATCGCTACACCTCACAGGAACTACAGCTCCCTCCTTTTGCTCCCCGCCGACAGAGAAATGCTGCCAGGAGAGAACCCTGGAGTCATCCCTGGGCACAGGGGAGCAAACGCCAGCCCCCACGCCCCCGTAAGAGCGGCCGGAGGTCTGCACGGCCGCACACCCCACTTGGGCAGCTCTGGGTGTCTAAAGAGGGAGTCTGAGCTTTGTCAGCCCAGACGGGGACGCTCCTGCGTGCGGAGGGGATGGGGGTGCCCCCAATCCGCGCAGTCCTGGATTCGGGCACCTCCACATGGACCAGTGGGGTGAATTGGGGCACCCACCCTGCCCGTTTGCTGGGGCCAGCTGGGTGCAGCGCAACACAAGCTGCCCCTTCTCTTGGTCCATCTGGGACAGGGGAGGGAGGGGGCTTGCTTTGGAGGCGCCAGCGACCAGGGAAAGGAAGAGCTCTGCCTCCAGGCCACTTACCAGCAGCCGCGTGGTTAGAGCGTAGGGCGAAGGAAGATTGGCTGCAAAGAGAAGGGAAAAAAACGTAAGACAGCATCTCCCACTGAGCACCCACGAAGCACCCAGCACGCGCCTGGCTGCAGGCGAGACCCCGGCACGCACGGCCCCGTGCCCGTCGGGGGAGGCCGGCACTGACCGTTCAGGTCGTAACGGACAAGGGACGCGTTTTCTCCCTCCTCTTGCTTCTTCGTGGCCAAACACATGAGGCTCTTGCAGAGCGGGGTCAGGGCGTTGGTGAACTGTATCGGGGTGACAAACTCCAGGAGGTACGGCCACAGAACCTGCCGGGAGAAGGGGAGCATGGCCCTCGCCCTGCCTGCTGGCACAGGGCACCCGGCAAGAGCCCGGCTGCGGGATGGAGACCCTGCACCAGGGCATGGGACCGAGAGGGGGAGATGCCAGGCCAAATGCCTTTTGCTGATGGGGAGGATCCCCGAGCCCCCTTAGGCTGTGCTACTGTTCAGGAAGGCAGGGGTATCCGCTGCCTGCGCCCGACCCCAGCAGCAGGAAGCTCCATCCCCAGGGCT